TAGGGGGGAAATGATCCGGAATTTTCGGGGGGAGGCTACATTTATAGGTAGAAGGAGTTAGGAGAGTCCAAATGAGGTGCGGTTTTCGCCCACACGATCATGATCGAACGACCGAGAGCATGGAGGGAAGTTAGATGGGTTTTGGGCCACTTTGGAAGGGTGTTGGGCTGCAAAGAGAAAGGGGGGTTTCGGGCTACGTGGTTAACCGTTGGAGTATCAAACAAACTCCAAATGACACGAAACTTGACAGGCGGTCTACCGGTGCTATACCAAGGCCGCTTGGCAAACCTCGGTCCATTTTGAGAAAGTTTAACACCCGCTCACAACAAGAGACAACAAGGGGAACGCCGGAGGACATAGGAGAGCCGGATTGCAAAACGGACAACGGGGAAAATGCTCGGACGCATGAGACGAACACGTATGCAAAATGAAATGCACATGATGACATGATAAAATGCAACACGCAAGCAAATGACATGGCAACAATGACGAATAACTGGCAGACACCTGGCGCATCGAATCCGGGGCGTTACATGCTGGCTCCAGCTGTCGCAGCGGCAGTCGATCCAAACATCATTGATGTTGTTGTTGACGAATTAAGAGTCGGTCCAGTGCCAGCCATGAAGATCGCAGCCCTGGAGGGTGGCTCATAGGGGTCCGGAATATTGTTGCCATTGGAGTAGCCCCCAAGCCCGCCGTCTTGAAGCTGATAGATTGATTATGTCTCTCTAGTTGAGGACTCATCACCTGAGTAGATGGTCGTCTCTCCACCAGATGTAGAATCTTCCTCAAGATCCGCCCCATGAACAAAGCCAATGAAAATGTGCTTCTAGTCGGGTTGAACCCTGGCGGGTCATGTGCGCTGAGCCATCTAGATGATGTCGGTGTAGATGTCCGGCTCAGGCTCTGACTCGTTGATCTTGCCGATGAAGACATGAATTCCGCCAAAGGTGACCCGATACCCTTACTCGATTGAGTCGGCCTCGGGGCCCCAGCCAGCATCGTCGATGTAGAGCTTGTCGCGGCAGCTCTTAGTCATCCAGCCCACCGCATATCCTTCAATCCCTGGGAAATTGCCCTTCAAGAACTTGAAACCACCGTGCTCTGGCCCCATGGTGGGCGCCAACTGTCATAGATTTGCCACGACAAATGTCCATGTGAAAGGACTTAAGCATGGACTCATCGCAGCGTAGGTTAGCTTGAAGCGGTTGAACGGGACAAAGGACAGAAGGTTTACCCGGGTTTGGCCCCTCTCAACAAGGTAAAATCCTACTCCTGCTTTTGTTGACTATTGCTTGGGAATCGATTACATGGGAGCGGAATCGCTTGACCTAGCTATCAATCAATTGTTTCTTGAGTTAACCCGTTGCAGGGTCTCACCTTTATATACACAGGTCGAGGCCCTGGGCTTACAAGAGTCCCGGTCAAATCACACAACGTGACCGACCCGGGTTCTAAACTATCTTGCCTTTCTAAACAAGTCATCTTCCGTGGGCTTACAAGCGTCGGTTCCCACACACCATCTGGGCTTGGGCCTTCGGTGGGTCACCACCTAAGACGCCCTCTACACTCTTCATCTGTCCTCTTGGGCCTTCTTCAGATACCGTAAGTTGAGTCCCCAACGGTGTAACCCGGCCCCTCCTGGGCGGGTCACGCCGCAGGGTTATATCCCCAACACTATGTGTTCGAGAGAGAAGCCTCTAGTGAAAACTATGGGCCCCGGGTCTACCTTAATCATATTATAAAAACAAAAATACCTTTGCTGCAATTTTATTTCTTTTATTTTGTTTTGCAATTTATCCATCTACCTATACAAGATTTGATCCTTGCATGTAACGAGTTCAAGGGGATCGACAACCCTCTTGCCCGCGTTGGATGCAAGTATTTGCTTTGTCTGTGCAGGTGCTATTCACGAGGCTTTGTGTGATTCTCCTATTGGTTCGATGAACCTTGGTTCTCAGTGACGAAAGTACTTATATCTACTGTATTGTATCTCCCCCCCTCTTTGGGGGAAATCCCAACGCAGCTCACAAGTAGCAGGCGCGCCCTAATGTTTTTAGTTTATCGAATTGTAAGTAAATAAAAGTATGATGATCATCGTTATTAGAACATTGCCCCAATGAGGAAAAGAATGGTGGACACTAATGAGTCCTCCAAAAGGTGGGGATGAGGTCCATGAGACTATTCTAAAAAATAAAAAATAAAAAAGAGGCAAAAATAGCCCATAAAAAGAAAAGGGAAAAAAAGAAAACAAAAAATGAGAGAAAAAGAGAGAGGGGGCATTCTATTATCCTTTTGCCACACTTGTGCTTCAAAGTAGCACCATGTTCTTCGTATAGAGAGTCTCCATGAGTTGTTACTTTCATTTACTAGTGGGAATTTGACATTATAGAATTTGGCTTGTATATTCCGATGACGAGCTTCCTCAAAAGCTCGAGGTCTTCATGAGCAAGCAAGTTGGATGCACATCCACTTAGTTTCACATGGAGTTTTCATACACTTATAGCTCTGATGCATCTGTTGCATGGCAATCCCTACTCCTCGCATCGATATCGATTGTAAGGCCTCTCCATTGTCTCACGATCCGCCGAGTTGATGCGAGACTTTCTCCACCTTTTGTCTTCTCATAAACCCCCATCATCATTCTCTTTTCCACCCGAAGTGCTAAGTCCATGGTTCATGGTCATGTACTGGGTGAAGTTGAAAATGATGAAGTGCCTGAAAAAGTATGCTACAATTGCTTGGTTTGACACTGGGGTGTCATGATTTACACTTTATGCTAGAAATACTAAGAAACATTCTTTATTTTGAAAGGCATGATTGTTTGTTAGTATGCCCGAATATTGATGTCTTTATATCAAATGATAGACTATTGTCTTGAATCACTGGTATCCTAATATTCATGTCATGATTAGATTATTTGATCAAAATTATGCTAGGTAGCATTCCACATCAAAGATTATTTTTGTTTTATCATTTACCTACTCGAGGACAAGTAGGAATTAAGTTTGGGAATGTTGATACGTCTCCGTTGTATCTATAATTTTTGATTGTTTCATGCCATTATTTTACAACTTTCACATACTTTTGGCAACAATTTATATTATTTTTGGGACTAACATATTACATATTGATCCAGTGCCAGTGTCAGTTCCTATTTTTTGCATGTTTTTTGTTTCGCAAAAAAATCGTACCAAACGAAGTCCAAACACGATAAAATTTTACGAAGATTTTTTTGGAATATACGTCTTTTCTAGACATTTGAGAATTTTTTGTGAACAGTTGTCTGAAACTCCTTTCTGTCACTGTCTCTATCATGTTGTAAGGCCTTGATATCCAAGTGAAGATAATCCATTTCTAAATCAGCCACGATGTATGAGACTTGCACCATCCAATCGGTAAGGGTTTACACAGGCAGGGAGCTTTTTCACCCACCGATTAGTAGAACAAGAATAAACACACTGAAGCGACAAATTTTACCACAGCCAAAGCTGCAACCTGAGCTTGTGGGTTGTTCCTACCTCCGCCAACACAGCCGCCTGCACCGCACCGCCCTGGTGCTTGCTAGAGGAGGGTGGGTGTGATTTTAGACTGGAGAAATGTTCTCCAACAACCATTACCCGACCACTTCTAACACCCGAACTGTCTAATGCCACCAGCACCTCCCGAACTGCACCGCCGCCGGAGAACTAGACGAAGGAGGATTTTTACCAGGGAGAACCCCAACCTTGCTCGCCTCCAGATCTTGCGCGCCTCCAAGAACCAATCGCTCTAGATACCACTTTGTTAAGCCCGAACTACTGCCTAAGGTTTAAGCACTTCTCCAATAACACAAGAGCGAATTCAGGGGGAAAACTTGGGGAATTTGTATTAGATTTTGCACCGCGAAGGCGGGCAATACAGAGCCAGCCGGAACACGACGGCCTAGGGTTCAACCCTATTACAGATTAGTTGTCTTCTCTTGGTCGATCTCTTTCTTATAAGCCATTACAACTTACTGGAGGTAAAAAAAGGAAAGAAGAAAATGAATAGTTCCCTTACCGGAAAGTAAACGGCGACATGACGAAGACTATCAGTCGTTCGATCTGAGATCGACGTCGGACACGAGCTCCTCCTGGCGTGAAGCGGTAATGAGTGTCCCGGCCGTCAGATGGAGATCTTGCAACTGCATTTGAATTCTCTTGAATCGGTATGGGTGCTTAACTGGCGAAGTGTTTGAAGTGTCGAATTCTTCAGTTAGGGGCCTAACATTCCCCTCCCCGCCACCAGCCGCCGAAGCAGCAGGCAGAGGGGAGGTGAATCACGGACTCGCCGATGAAGTTTGGGGGGGAAGGTTTGCCCTAGTCTCCTAAGGTTAGGGACGAAAAAGGAGATGAAACTACTGCATAATGTTTGAGTTTGAAGAGAGAGAAAAATTGGTCTTGCTTAGTGATGAGACGATCTCTTTATATGAAAAATGGCATTTTTAACCATTGTGCGAGATTTCTTTTCCATTTTTTTGCGAAAAGAGATTTATTTTCCTTAGTCACATGTTTCTTAATTTCATTTTAATCATTCGCAAAAAAAGTCCAATTTTAATCATTGAATGATTATCGGGGTGATGCAGATAATGCAACAGATAATCTATCGTATAACATGTTTTTTTATGTTCTCTGTGTGCTATGAAATAGAGTGAAGTCTGATTTAAACCGTATGAATAAGAAAACATATCGTATCAAACACCGTACATAGCCTAAGCGAGTGAATAAGACTAATCCAAACTAACTCTTTTTTCACATGAACATGTTTCTCTTTCTACACATCAATTAGTTTTCTGCACAAAATTAACCAACTCCAAGAAACTAAAACTGTCCGTCCATCCATGTGACCGAACGTGCTCCGAATTCTCTGTCGATGAAGAAAGAAACCATGACGTTCGCAGAGTCCTAGGCACACAGGTTCGCTTCCAGATTCCTTAGCACCACCAAGATCTGCTCAATATAGGCACGAGAAAGGATAAGTTAGAGGAGATGGGACACGTTGGGCCAGCGAGGTGATGATAGACTATGGCAATGTGCATGTGAAGTGCTCACCGTGTCCACCACGACGGGGTCGACGCCCTGCAGCTGAAGCCTCTGGAGTTGCGCATCGACCGGGACAGCCGCGTGGGAGGCGAAGACGTCGCCGACGAACCGGTGGACCAGAGCGAAGCGCAGGTCGTGGGGAGACAGTGGGAGCTCAACGGTTTCGTCCTGCAGGTGCAGGGCACCGGCGGACGGCCACTCTCGTGCGCCAGGCGCGTCGAGGTCCGGCCAGCGGGATTCAGGCGGGGCGCATGCCCAGTCCACGCTCGGCACCAGCATGTCGGCGTCGGGGTGGCTGTGGGCCGGCGGCTGCTGGCGGAGGGCCGCGGCCCGGCGAGGGTGAAGCGGCGGCGGCAGGCACGCCCCGAGGCCGAGCTTCTGGGCCTTGAGGAAGTGCTTCTGCGCGTGGCTGCGGATCTGCACGCTCGTCTTGGTCGCCACCAAGGCCTCGATGCTCTTCCAGTCACGGCCGAATCTGCAGTCCCGCCAAGAGGAAAACAAAATGGAAAGCTTCTCGTCAGTTCAGAGCTCCAAGTTGAAGCAGAGGAAAGAGCAGGTGACCGAGGGAGAGGCGGCGAGCGGGAGACTCACATGTGCAGCGCGTGGAGGAACCGTTCGTGCTCCTCGTCGGTCCACCTCTCCCGCGGCCTCGTGATCGTGTACGGCTTCCGGAGCTTCTTGTTCCTCCCCACCGCCGACGACCGTGCAGCAGCAGGCATCCTGGCGCCTCTGACCATTGTTGCCATCGTATTTCTTATCTCTTTCAGGAGCAGCGCTGAAGAATCTCTCTTTTCACTAGCAGAAGCAGCAATGAGGAGTCTGCCGAGAGCCGAGGCCTTGTACTGCAGTGAAGTGTGATGAACTGAGGTGGCCAGGAGCGCTCGCGTATATGTACTGGTCCGTCGAGCACCGGACAGGCGAGAACCCAAGCCGTGTGAGGCGTGGGGCACGTGCATGCGTCATGTCTTTCGACCAGGCCACAGCAAGAACACACGTGCTCAATGTGGCACGTCGGGATTAGCCTCGTGATACGCACGTGTCCGAAAAAGAAGGACACGGCTTAGATGGTTCCAGCTCGCCTTCCCTTCCGGTATGCCTGTCTCGCAGCTCGGCAGCCGTGGTTACGCCGACCGAGGGCGCCTAACTAGGCCGAACTTGAGCACACAGCAGCTCGTTGCCTCCAAACAACCCAGCAAGCGGAACCCAACACCTCAGATGCATCACACAAATAGCCGCACGACCGCGGGTACCACAACACGTCAACACGACAAGACTGTTGCTTCGTTGTTCGAAAAAACAAAAGGACTGCTGCTTCGCTAACCAGCATCGACAAAGGAGCTGCCCCACATTTGCAATTGCAACATCCATGTTCAGCTCGCGTTGCAAACACCTCCCGGCCGTCCCAGCGTTTTCTGACTGTTGCAATGTGCTGTTAGCCGTGTGCTCGGCTCTCTTGCATTGCCTGCCAATGTTGTGGTCAAGCACTGACTCATGTTACGCTCAAGGTCTACACAGCATGCGTTGTGCTCGGCTGTCTTGCGTTGTTTTTTTTCGAAACGGAGGCAAAAGATTTGCTCATCTATTAAATGAGAAGGATAGAGTGTTTTGGAGTGTTACAAGACCTGACCCAACACACATCACGGCCTGGCAATTACTCGCTTATTACAATGTTCCCTAAATTCTTAGCGCCGGCGGATACCCAAAGCTTTGCCTCATCGGTTACAAGTTGGAGAAGGCTTGTAGGCGGCGCACTTTTGTGGCGAAATACTCTAGCGTTTCTCTCATTCCAAATTATCCACGAGACAAGCATAGTGAGGGAGGCCATAGCTCGCCTATTGGGGTTCGTCATGTCGGTCCTCTTGTCCCACCATTCGAAGAGGGATGCGTGGAGATGCCAAGTGGTGGTGTCCATGTGCGCAAGCCCAAATTTTTGGATGACCATGTTCCAAAGCCGTGTAGAGTAGCGGCACCGAACAAAGAGGTGAATGGACGTCTCTTGTTCTCTCTTGCATAGGGGGCAAAGGCCACAGTTTGCCCAGCCACGACGCTCCAAGCGGTCTGCAGTCCAAATGCGCCCTTGCAAGGCAAG